TCTTGTCACCAGAAGTCATGTCAATATTCTTGCTCTTTTCATTTAATGCTTTTTAATTTAATGCTGTTTTAAAGGAGATATTAATAATATTCTCAGCCTGAAGTCGAGATAAATATTTGTACTATGCTTGTTTTTAATATGTTTTAAACCTCACAAGCCTTGTTGTGTTAACGTGTTTCTTGTTTTCACTAATTAACAACACTGTCATCGCAGTGAGTGGCATTGTCCCCATGGTTAATCCAAGATACAGAGATAGAAGTCACCCATTAGAGGTTTTCCGATGGTTGTATCTGTTAACATGGCTGATAATCAATAACCAATATAGGGAATAACCAATATATTGGGCAACTTAATAAGATTAAACCTATCAAAAATAAAATAACTTTTGAACATATACGGAGTAGCCTAATGAAATCTTCAATTACAAAACTTTTGCCAAGTAAAGAGTTATTCTGATTTTTCAACAACCAAGAATATTAACCCATCCCTTTCTCAGATTCTCAACTCCATACTGTGTACACTGGAAGGGAATTTGTACTTTCTTTCTAGTTCCCTTACAACTTTTACTTTGACTTATGACAAAATACATTGTTTACCACCTGAAAATTTTGTAACAAGCCAATCAGCCTTCACTATTCTCTGATGTCAACAATTGTCCTCCTCCCTTCTTGATTAAACAGGTAATCCCAAGGTAATAGTGGATCTTTCACATTGTAGAGAAATAAATGCTCTAATTATTTTTGTTCCATAGCCCAGAGAGTTGGTGACTATTTTGCCATGAGCAAACAGATTATTTAGAATACCTATATGAAAAAAGCATTCCTGGATGGCCACACAGCCTGCAGGGTTTCATCAACTCTGCACTGTCTAAAGACTGCCAGCTTTTCATTTGAGTTTTATATGTCAAAGAATGTTACATGACATACACTGATCTTGATTTCAAATTAGTGGCTACATTTCAAGCTTCAGAGAGCTAACTAAACAGGCACCCACCCCAGTGAAATGCTCCCATGCTTAAGGCCTTAGCCTTTACAACACGCT